GCAACCGTATAGGTACCGTATAGTTAAAGTAAAATCGCTGAAAAGGAACTCATTATTAAACGACATAGATGGTGTTGGCCTATTATTTTTGCTTTTTCTAGCGGATTGATTGATTTTTTGGGACAAATAAATTGATTCACCCAAATAAGGCCACCATTACATTTTTATGGCTTTTCAGTCCACGATGTCATAGTTCTTCCCTTATTCGAAACAATCTTGAATTTCCCGAATGACGTCATCGCCACTACCCGTCAACAACAGACAGAGCAGTCCATTTGGCTCTCTGAACGTCCACATTTTCTCATTACATAATCGAGATGCACACGATTAATTGACGGTTAGTGAGAGAGCACACGGGCGACGACGAATTCACAACCCCGGCTGGGTCACGGCCATAGCAGACAATTTTTGCGCCGATCGCCTGAGCGATATCGAATTTCGTGACGAATGCGGACCCTGCGTCGTCGCTAATGCAGGATGGGACCTTGACTTCGGCCTCTTGATTGGCGAAATGTCTGTGAAACTTTCGCAAAGACGATGGGTAGAGATAAGATGGCGTTTTGGGAAGGAGAAAATGACAACGATCTCCAGGAAGAGATCAAAGCTGTGGGGAATTTGAGAAAGCAATGAAAAAGTTGGAAAAAAGCTGATGACCGGAATCGTTTGTAAGAAAGGTCTTCTAGTTTCAAATTTTGATTTTTTCAAACATCGAGGAACATTACTAATTTGAGCCAAAAAAACTGAGTCAAGAAAGTAGAATTCAAGAAGGTCAACATGGATTTGATTCTTGTGATTCCAATCAAGAAATACGATTTTTCTTTGAATGAGAGTACAGAAATGTCGCATTCAGAAATAAATTTGCTTTCGAACGATTATTATCAATTTCTATTCACCAACATCCATAAAAGTCATGCTAGGATTTACAATTTTTTTGGAAAGACGTAAGGTACCATTCTAATTTCATCATTAGCTTCCAGATTTATTTGATTCATTAGGGAGTATAATATACAGAATGGCGACAACATCCAAAATTGGTTCTTGGATTCTGTATGAGTAACAAAGTTTTCTGCAGATTATGAAGTGAGACCAAGCATGTATGATATTTTCGATAGTGGAATTTTTTTGACTCGAAAAGGGAAAATCAAGTCATGGCATACAGGCACTAATTTTGCTTGCTTCTATTGAATCAATTTCTTTTAGCAGATTTGAAATTATCACTAGCTTTGCATGTTTACAAAGAGAAGTTGCATAAAAGTTTTTTATCATCCATTTCTGAATATTTCGTCTTACGGTTAGCAAAACCCATGTTCTTTACGAAGCTTGATGTTCAGACTTCATTTCAATACTGTGCGGTAGAAGGTTGGTCTTTATTCTTTTTTACAACAAAGGAACTGAGGTTCAAAGCGTCATTTGCGGCTTTAAACCATACAAGCTAAGTCTTCTTCCATCATTCTACCCAACTTCAATTCGCAGAGCACTTTCACACACTTACAACTAAAATGACATCAAGTATGTACACTGACATGTAAACGTCCTAAAACTTTGGCTCAGCGCCAATATTGAAAGAATGCAGTACAGTGTAATAGAAAACTTACCTCTTTGTTGGTGTGAGGTGCTTGTAGCGATTCGGGACGATCTGAAACAAGAGCGAGTAAAATCTGAGCAGTTTGAATTGCAATGAATGGACAAAACTGAAACGGGGTTGAAAGGGGACGAGACTGGGACAATCGCTACCAAAAATACCGTTTGTTGGGATTTTTGTCAGCTAAGCGGTCTTGAATTGATCGCTGAGAATCTTCGATTTGAGCCTTTCTTAAAGAAAAAATGATTTATTGTCCCAAAGAAGTTTCATGGAGGCGGAACCAGATCGCCTTAGCCCCGCCCATCGACTCATTTAAATGGTTGAAATTTCGAAAAGTCCTATGGTAGCGGCGGCGACGCGTGGTGACGCGTCCGACGATTACGGTAGCTAGCCGCGCTTCAAGGACTCGTCGAAAACAAACTAAGCTCGCTCGAATTGAGTGAATTGAATGCGCAGACCGGATACGAAACGGTTGGATGAATTTCGCTTGACTGCCTGGTGGCTTCAGTGTGCCGGACGGCCCTGGGGCTTGATTGCGTCCGGAAGGAATTCGTTTTGTGCAGTCGAGCATGGTTTGACGTTAAGACATCGGGAGTTTGGACGCTCGGCACTCTTCACTGCTTTTGAAAGGGGCTTTTATTGGGGATTTGGAACAATGGAGAGAAGTGAAAACGGCTAAAAGGGTTCAACTTCCGTTTGGCTTCAAAATATTGACGAAGGGCAAGAGGAGGAGGAGGGATGGAAGCGGTGGAGAGCGGAATGATGAAAGGGGATCTTAACACGTTTCGGACCGCGAAATCGCGCGCGGCGAAAAAGATTGTACTTTCAGCCGTTAGCCAACAGAGGGACCTTATTTTGTGGACTGTGTGCTACATCTGTAATCAGCATGTCAGATAAGCTCCATACCCGAAATTTTAAGTGAATTCGAAGTGTTTGAATTTTGTCGCTTGAGAAGAACTTTCGTGTTTTCCTGAAGAACAGAGACAAGATCTCAATTCCTAATAGTACCCAAAAGTATCTATGTTGCAAACGGTACACACCAATATCTAGACTAGGGTTTTCCTCCTCGAAATTGATGCAAGAAGAAGTTGCGACGTCGCACGCGTCGTTCGCGTTGCCGCACTTTGTTGCAACTGTTGTTCGATTTCTCCTTATATCTCTTGAACAAACATTGGCGGCACAGCTCTACAGAATTATTTGAAAAGTAGGAGCTTAGGGCTTTGACCTGATAACTTTGGACTAAAAGAAAACTTCATGTGAGCGTCAAAATGATCCTTCAAAGCAACGTGCTGCACCATGTGCAGCACCGGTCCGAAACGTGTTAAATGAACTAGGTTTTTTCTAGACCCTTACTCAAATCGGTCAAAAAGTGCAACTTCTGAACCGTGCCCCTACCCGGTAAGTATTCCAGTCAATCGTACCAGAGAAAAAGTAAAAAGATATTTTTGTAAGTAGGCATCTTTTCCCTACCATACCCTTACCCGGTAAGTATCTCTTCTTTACCTTACTCTTATCCGAACCCTACCACATGAAGAGTGGAAAAGTAGTTTTTGAGTACATAGGTATATCTCCTCTACCTTATCCTTAACTAAATCATTCCACAAAAATTGTAAGAGTTATTTTTTCAATAGGTACTTCTCTTCTACCTTACCTTTACCCGGTAGTATTCCTCCTATACCTGCCCCCGGATCCTTTCACGAAAAAAAAGAAAATTTATTTTTTGAGTAGTTATTTTTCCTCAAGTAAAGTAATTTTTTCCGAGTATGTATCTCTCCTCTACCTCACCCTACCCCAATCCTTCCATGAAAAAAAAAATAAAAAAGCTATTTTTGAAGTGACACCGCTTTACCATACTCTTACCCGATTCCTCCATAGAAAAAGAAGAATGTCCTTCAGTCCATCCCCCGCCCCTCCCACCTCCTAACCCCTTCTGAATAGCGTCCCAAATGCAAAAATCTCGACCCCAGATCGGGGCGTAGTGGTGTTCCCATGTCAGCGTATTCACTCATTTCGCTATTGTGATATTCTACGAGTATGCAAATGGACGCATGATTCAAAACTGGGAAAAAACGCCGTTCCGTGGAATGAGAGAGGCTTGGTGTTGCAGAAAACACGGCTCTGACTCATAGGGCTTGTCCCAGTTGAACTTTCAGTCATTCCTCGATCAGCAAAGTTTTTCGAGGGCAACTTGAACTTTACGGGTCTTTCTTGGAGCTTTTCCAAGCGGTTTACCGTTGGGAAGTGCAAGTGGTAATGCATAGCAAGATATGGAAGTTATAAATGTAGTTCGAGAATTTGCGCTGGGGGGGGGAAGGAGGGAAGAAAATTACCATTCTTCCAGACTGGGGCTCATACAAACTGCCCGAAGAAATTTCTAAAAAGCTAATTCAAATTTTGAATAGTTCAAAAAACCTTTAAATTTCTAACAGCTGAGAACCAGCCATTCGCACAAGTTTTACTGAAGTAGATCACTTTCATAAATTTTCAAAAGAGAAAGTAGAAATTGAATTATGGTACCACTATATTAATTTCCACGAAATTTGCAAGCATGACGCAAAACTGCACAATCTTTGTTTCTATGTATGAAGAGCCAGATAAATTAAATGTTTTTGCATCTAGGAGACCAAATTTGATCTTCTAAAGAAAACCTGACCCTGATTATGCAGGAATTGTAAAATCTGAATATAATGAACTTCAAACGCATAAAGCTTTGTTCATAGCCCTCCAACCAACGGCCAAGTTTGAGTATTTTTTGACTAGCTTTTTTTTCTGCTTCCAATGACTACTGATGTTGAAGATGACCTACGTTTATCAAAAATCTCTGACAAAGTCACTTATACTAATGTAGGCGATTAAGATGAAAGCCATTTACGACAAATTGAATTTATCTGCAGTGATGATCTTGTAACTTCTTTATTACAAAGTCATTATAAAATTAACATTATGACGACTTGGAATAAAGAACTTGGATTTTAGTCGACAAAAGTTTGGGTTGTCAACCCTCAGGTTTATAATGGAGGAGAAAGTAATTGAGAAAAATAGGGTCCTAAACATTTTTCGCTGAAATTTTATAAAATAAGTGGACAGAAAGTGCGCTAACTTCTCCTTTCCCCCCAATATATCAAAAATGATTTCGAACTACTTTGACATAATGTGAAAAAAGTGAAAAGTTCTTACTGGTTATGAGCTAATTTTTCTTTGTGACAATCACATAAGTGTTAAACTCACAATAAAACATCTATTGAAGATTACGGTAGGCGAAGATGTTTGTCGAAGCGCGGATTTGTAAATGAATTGAAGGAAATAAGAAGAAACCTCAAATTTGATTATAATCCTTGGTTATTAACTGCTGGCGATTAACTGGTCCACAAATTTTTCCCAGACAACTGAGGGATATTTGCATGAAAAATCGACGACCACTTTCATTGGTTTATGTAATCAATCTTAAACTCTACAGCATCCCCCAAACCGTGGCTAGAAATTTTTTCTCCATCTTTGACTCAGAGGCATAATTGAACACGAGCGCAAATTCCACGCAACGAGACGATAAGCGGTTTTTATAGCTCACATCGTGCGATTCTTGCGATTATTTGAGGTCACGAAGCCGTTTTGCAACTACCGTACCCCTAATCAAACTTTTGGATTATTGCCAATGAAATGCGATTTGTGATTCATAGCGAAGCTATGTGGTTTCGATGAGCTGGGAAGCCAATAAAATGTGATAATGAGGTACTATGAGGAAGCCATACGGATAAAATCATAACAAGTGGTTGCTGATATGCTATACGAAACTCTTGGAACAATCTGGCCTATTTCAATCAAGTTAACGACGGATAGAGAGGAAAATGAACTGGAAATACTCTAATGCTTCAAAACGAAAACTTTAGTGTATAATTGGTTGCTAAAATAATGTGCCCGCATTTTTCACAGTATGAAGACATTGAATAGATAAACTTGACATGGATTCCTGAAAAAGGTGACGAAAATATGCTGCCAAAGACATAAAATTTCATGAAATCTCGTCCTTTCCAAGATAATGACTGCTTGCAACTCATTGTCAGCTTGCTATTTTTACCAAGATTTTATAATACTTTTTTTCATCGACTTTAGCCTTTACATAAAAAAAGTTAACATAATTTTGCACAGAACTTTTATTTAAGTGTTTTAACCTAAAGGTTTGTTTTTGTACTATCGTTACAGCTTGAAGGAGCGAATTTTTGTACTTTCTGAGGTTTTTAAATAAAAGCTGAGCTTAGCAATAAACGCTGTCACTACTGATATTGCGAAGATAGATGCAAAGCTTCACTTAATCACAATGTTCCCAGTAAAAACGATTTTTTAAAGAATTTCCCGTTGTTATTATCTTCAAATTTCCGTGCAAATCCTACATAAAAAAAAGATGTAACTTGGCCCGATCTTACGACATTTTTTTGCACGATAACAGGTTACTTCAAAATTTGGATTATGTCCGTATTTGCACAACGAGCCATTATGATGGTCTTCCTATTCAATTACCACTTCATTTTATTTAACACTGAGGTTCCTTTGTATTCGATTTTTTAAGCGCTTGGAGTAAATAAACATAACCTGCTGTCGGTTGTTGGCTGATAAATCTAATCCGAGAAAATCCTCTATATATACCGTATAACTTGATTAGCATGGAAGCGGATCCTGCACGGATAAGAAAGGATTTCTTTATATCCGCTCTTATTCGAGCAATGATTGAGCCACGAACACTGCAGCGCTTTAAAAATATAGAAAATTATATTACTTTATATTCAGGAGTTACAACCATGAAACGTTGACCCTTCCCCCACTTCAAAATCATCAAAGGCTACAGTACTTTTGCTGTGATTGGCTGGTGCGTTATAGTGGGGTACGGTAGTGGGCAGCACAATACGGTATGGGTTTGGCTGACTTCAGAATTTTTCGAAAGTCTTAGATTGCAGCTAACTTGTCAGCAGCTCCCAATACAGTAGCTACCTAACGCAAGAGAGAAAACGTGTAAAGTTGGCAGATGAGTGAATGTCACACAGAACTACTGAGAGCGATTTCGTGCCAGGATCAACTGGTTTGTCCGGATTACACACACACATTTAACAGTGTGTGTGTAGTAAATGAAAAAAAGGAAGTAGTTGTAGTAGAGTGGAAATAGGACACATAGGCACACATCAAACGCCGCATATTGCGCAGCAAGTTTTGTTCAGCACATTTTCTTCACAATGAATGACTCAGAAATAAAATGTCAAAGAAACAGGTTGGAGAGAGATCTAACACGTAGTAACAAGTTGCCGCCAAGGTATACGGTAGGTACCAAAAGCAGTGAATGTGCCGATAGTGAATGTAGTGGAAAAAGCGATGTTTATGAGGTTAGGCATGCTCAAACGGGTGGGGGGGGGGGGGGAGGAGAGGGAGAGAACGAAGGAATTCCCGAGAATAAAAAGACGCAGTACTTACCGTCCGAGAAATCCTGTTGGCTATGCGAAGTGCGACGATCGAACAGCGATCTAAAAATAAAAATCTTGTCATTGAAAATTGTTCTGAAAACATTATTTCCATGGCAATTTCAAACTAAGAAAACTCCACACGATTTTATCTAAAATTTTTCGATCGTGCATAATGTAATGAAAATAAGTAAAAGATAAGTAGACTTACGAAACAAGCTGATTATGCTTGTTGTCGTCGATTATCCAAGAAGCAACATGGTTCATCTAAAAAGAAGAAAATCTACTTTAAGCACTCAATCAACCCTAGCAAGCAAGGACGTTTAATCTTCGGTAATATAAATTCATCGATAAAGATATACCTGATAGATTTCGAATAAGGAGCCAACCCCTATAGAAGAAATTTCATTATCTTTTCTCTCAGAAGCATATGAAGTATTTACAAACAAAAATAAACTCATGAATTTCACAAATTGTTGAAGAGGTAGGAATCTGCTATTTAAGAGTAGTCTAAGTAGAATATTGTAAGAAATATTGTAAGTCAGATCATCGATAACTGGCTGGATGGAAATTTCCAAGCTGACGAGATAAAAAAAGATGTTGAGAAACTTAGCATGAACAGTTGGCTATATGTCGCTAATTCGAAGTAAGAAGGGCTAAAGGAAAGTTGGAAGTTTTGTAAATCTGAAACAACCTCAAGAACCTAAGGAGCAAAAGTTTTTGTGAGAAATTACCTCGATGTTTTGAAAGTTATTATTCCTCTAAGTACGAACCACCTAGTAAAGACAAGGCTAAAATTAGCATAGCAACGAAAAAAGTTCCGAAGCGTACAGATGTAGAATTGAAAAAACTGTGGATCCTTGAAATTTCAGCCATTGAGCTGATGGTAGAATTCTAGACGCTTTCACTAACTATCACATCAAGTGTAGAAAAGCTTTAGCTCCTACAAGTCGCTTCAGGCTTTTTGCATTGAAAGCAGTTACGATTTTTTGCACCTGGATCCAGAACTTCAGAAAGAAGTTTTTATAGTGGGCTGTTATATTCAAAAACTTGGTTTTTCTTGCGAAAAGACGAAAACTATAAGCTCAAACGGAAAAGGTTGAGATTTGGAAGATGTGAGACGTTTCATAAGTTAAAGAAAGTTGCAATGAGATGTTTTAGTCTATAAGATTTCACAGTCCTTGTGCTTTCATCCACTGAAGACTCAGGGGAAAGGTTTGTAAAATCTCTTCAAAGCAGAAAAATTCGATGTCTCAAGACTTTAAACCTCTTTTCCAACTTACTGTTCTGAGGAAATGCGGGGGATGATTTGTGGAATCTTTTACCTCTACTTAAAGAACAAATTGAATAACTTGTGGACAAGAGACTTTACGACTGGAGCAGGTCATCACCTCAAAATGTAGATCTAATGTTTTTTTGACTACAGGCAGAAAGGTTTCAAAAATGCAAAAACAAATAAAAGGGTTCAACAACTTTTCAATCAGCATCTGGTGAGCTAGAAAGATGCAAACACAGGCTAGAGGTCGCTGACTTGCGGAGTTCAAAAAATCAAAGTCCATTTATGAAGAGGACCAATCTTAGTCCTAATCCTAATCCTGCAGTGCATAGCGAAGTCTCGGAGAATGTGGTACTTTTGATTTCTAAGGCTGGTAATAGAAAATTGACATTTGGTCAAGGTCAGATATAACGGTGGGACAAGATCCATACCTAATTTTCAAAAAAGCAAAAACAAAGCGGGGGCTCGAAAACTTTCCGACTAGCTTCTACTGAGCTGCAAAAACGCAGGCCACGCAAAGAGATCACTAAGCAGTTTAATAAATCTTTAGAACTGAAACCGCGACAGCAGCAATCCCAGTCCCTTAGCGCAAGAATGGTCGTGAAGCTCTTCGGCCCCCGTATGATCGTATTAATAAAGCATGACATCGGTGAGGGTTCAACGTATGTGATGAAGATTAGAGCCGAGAGCTATGAGGATTTGCAGAGGGGGGCATCGAGCAGGAAGTGCATTAGGTATGCTCCGATGTGAAATATCCGCGTAGTGCACTGAATTAGAGTCTCTAGCAAATTATTAGAGCTATATGCAAATATTTACGAAAAATCTTGCAAATAAAATCACAGGCAATGCGCTTCTATAGGCAAGCTAGATAAAAGTTCGAAAATTTGAATCAGTACGGTTTAAAAGCTGAAAAGAAAGAATACTTAAAGCTATTTCGTTTATCTGCAAAAGCAAAAAACGAAGCTTTATTCAAAAAAGTTTTTATTTATTTTTTGAATTTATTTATTCAATACGCACAAGGCGTGGTATATTTGGAACAGAGAACGAAAATATTTAGAGCTTGAACAGTAATAAGAAAATAAAAAACGTCCACAAAAGCTCAAGTCCAGCACCGTGTTGAGAGTAGAAAGGGGTAAAGTCTATTGGGTAAGTTGGGTAAGTTGTAAGGGTGAGTAAGTTGGGTAAGTCAGGTAAGGGAAGTTGGGTAAGTTCACAAATTTCTTTTGGGCAAGTTGAGTAAGCTGCAAGAGTGAGTAAGTTGGGTAAGTTCACAAATTTCTTTTGGGCAAGTTGAGTAAGTTGTTGGGTAAGTTCACAAACTTTTTGCAGGAAACATTTATGTCAACCAACTTTGCATTGAAGTACATTTGGAATTTTGTTAAGAGTTTAGGTTCTGAATATATGTCCAATGGCTTGTATAACGCCTATAAATTTGACTTTTATTCTCAAAGACAAATTGTAAACAATTTAGCTGTCTTGTAAAAAGTTGATTTTTGTCTACTGTAGACAGAGTGGTACGGGATGTAACAAAGCTGGTTAGTTATGATTACCTACACTTCTACTCTTAGTTCAACAGAAAAGAATTAATTGCTGGGTTTTACGAAAAAAAAGGGGGAAAAAACAAATTTCCATCTGGGGAGCCGAACATCGTCAACAAACAAAAAATCTAAAAATCTAAATCTGAAAATTAATCAATTGATTCATTGTCATCTAATAGCAAATTATCTGCCTTGAAAGCAAAACTTTCTCATTTCATCATAAATTGGACCTACTGTTCGAAAAAGAATTAACTTTTTCATTCAAGGGCATTTGCTGCTAAATAGTTTTTAGTGATTATTAATCGCAGATTACAATTTTTTTTGTATAAAAGAAGTAATTTGATGGCGTAATCAGACAGTGACAAAGTGTTTGTCTAATTAGTATGAGCCGTACCAGGCACTAACTAACAATGAGTAAAAAATAGAGCAAATTTGGAAAAAAAACTCTGCAAATCTTATCAATGGCTAGAAATATAGACGGTTTGAATTTTTGATCTTGGATGAGCACTTAGCAGTCATGAAAAATAAAAATAAACATTACACCTCGCTGGCCAAAATAACTGCACACAACTCTACAACTATAGCAATAAAAATAGCGAGAATTCGATTTGTTTGAAAGCAATTCACGGATTAAAGCGGTCATAAAAGTCGGCATTTAGACCGGAGCGATGCAAAAACAGGTGTCAGGTGGGCGTTACTCGAGTGAATTGAATAAATTAGGTTAATCCAGTTGAAAGCGAGCTGTCAAGGTAGAGTTAGCCACCACTCGAATACGAAACACTACCGGGGATCGAGTAAAGCGTTCGCTTCGGACGCGGACGCGCGGCAGCGACGTCGCTGCCGCGTCGCGTACGTTCATGGTGGGAAAACGTTTCGCGACAAGCTATCATGAATGGTCGAGATGGCATTCATTGAGTAAGAAGATAGTGGAAAGGTGGCGTAAAGAATTTTCAAGGAAATAGTTCCTTTACGGACTAGGAGACCGATTACGCTACGCGCACAATGTCTCTAACAAGCTTAAACATGTTTCCCCTCCTGATTTTAAGTAGTAATGTGCTGAAGATGGGATGAAGCACAAGTTTTAACTTGTTAAGCATATGCACAGATAACGTTCAGGTCTGCTAGTTTATGAAAACCGAATACTTCCCGCGTTGTAATCATTTGAGAGGGAAACTCGTCCAGCCGCTTGCGTGAATTTTGCTATAAAATTTTGATTTAGAGACGAAAAATTCTCGAATAAAGTTCATTGCAGTAAAGTAACTAATAGTATTTATTTATTTATTTATTTATACTAATAGTGATAGTATTTTTGGGCGTTTATCACATTCGGAAAAATTTGTTTGGAGTCTTTAAATGAATGGCTATTTTTGGCCAGATTACAATCGAATATCAAAAAATTTGTTTGGATTTAACGCATCAAATTATTAAGTTATCAGCGATAAAAAACATGCTCAAAAACCAGGTCCTACATGGAAATCGTGAAACGCGATTCCGGATGATGATCAAGAGATTTTTGCAGAATTTATATATTTGTAGGGGATCAAAAATGACAATTTACGAGTATTAGAGAGTGAAATCGAGGATGGGATCGAAGATGAAGCATTAAAATAAAAGCAGGTGGTGTTAGAGAAATTTTATATTATGTTAAAAACATTTGATAAAATTCACTCATGATTAATTTTTTAGGGATTCATAGAAAAAACAAATTATAATTAATTCTTTGGGTAGAGAGTTATAAGATTATACAGCAATCAAAAAAGATGAGCAATTTCTGAAAATAGATCTAAACTAAAAAATCAAAATATTAAGGCAGCAAAAATTTCGCAATTTAATTTTGACTATGAACAGCTAGCCACGAAAATAGCCGAATAGCAAAACAAACGGAAGTTATCATTGAATTTCAATCATTTTCAAATGCTTTGCCGATATGCACAAAAACAACAATAGCAGCAAGGTTTATAGCATTTATAAAAAAGAGAATGGAATATAAAATGTTATGAAATATTGATTGAATAAAAATTTGAGAGTGATCTACGTAGTGCTCTTCATTCTTGAGCGAATAATTTTTGTGAAAAAGTAGTTGTTTCACGTTTTTTTCTGGACAACATTGTAATCCACTTTTATTGCAGTTGACCTAGAAATTTTCGGAAAACGAGCTAGTAGTACAATTTTGTAACAGAAACGAATGGGACAAAGCCAATTTGACCATGGAAAAACTCGAGAAAGGAATGTAGAATTCTTCGAGGCGGCGAAAAGCTTTCGACGAGAAGAGAACTATCACAGAACAGACTGGTTACTCGCGACGCATAACTTCAGTGCATAGAATCGTAATGTCGTAAGAGACAATAGGCTTGAATAGTATGGCCTGGAATTAGGTAATGTCTCATTCATCCGCTCCTCTCATAGACAGCATTTAAGAGCACTAAATCTGCCTTGGATTAGACAAATCTTCT